TTTCTGTTTTTTTTTTTTTTAACCATTCACTTGACCTTGGTAATAGACAGTCTTATTACTTGGTTGTATATAACTGTCCAAAACATAAACCTCAAGGGAATGAAAAGGTACTGGGTTTTATTCATTTTTTTAATGGGGGGCTTCCTAACACATTGCCCCACCGTGAATGAGTTATAGGCATACCAAGAAATTGTCTCAGCCACTCAAAAGACTGTAAGTAACGAGCAGATGCTCCAGTAGCATTCTCAAGTTTCTCCATGATACAGTACAAATATTATACCTTCTGATGTGTCTTAATGTGAGAAGTTGGGAGAAAATTACTTCTTGGCAAATGAATAATATGAAAACCATCTTGGGATTATGGATATTTTCTTATTTCATAAATGTACATAAAGATCCATTATTTCATTAGTATTGAACGCTTGAGTCTCAAGTTTTCTAATAACTTGAACTTTATTAAATCAATTAATGATCACATAATCAATAAAAGCTCCAAAAACCACAAATACAAGCCAAAAAAGTCAGAACTCCATAGACCTTATTACATTATTTTAAATTTTTCATAAATTCTCCAGAAAGCTAAAAATATGGAATAAGCCTCGTTTTCTCTCAAGAGGCATATAATCTGATACAAAATGAAATTTAATGAGAATTAAGGAGATCTAGGGCATTCTAAAAGATTATTTCATTTGAAATTCTAATAATGCTACTAACTACAGTTTACAGCATTTCCTCATTACTCAGCATTGTGATCAATGTTTAGTCATAAATTCTAAAGCAATAGTAACTATCTTGTCCTAAAGATCCATGCATTATTCAAATATCAGAATTAAACCTTTATTTTTAAGATTTCTTTTGTAGCAATGATTCCTAAATGGACTGGTTACAACATAATTTTCTGATCCACTTGTAAAAGCACATTATTGGACTTATCACAAATTTTCTTGAGCAGGAATTTTTAACTACAAAATCTGTATTCTAACAATTGATGAGCAGTCAGGTTTGAGACATCTGCAGAAGATAATTATTACTTAATATTGATTTATAAATTTGAAATGAGTTCTAGCTTACTGGTTTCCACACTCTGAAAGTAGCAATTCTCAAAGCTCAACTTACATCAAAATCACCTGGAGGGCTCATTAAACTAAAAAGTCTGGGGCTGGACAAGAGATACCTTCCTTTGAGTTGTTGGCCAGGGTGGCCCAAAAGACTCCCAGACAGTAACCCAGCATAGAACTGAGAAAATGAACAGCAGACCCCAATCTTATCTAAAGGAATGTTGGCAACTGATTGCTACTAGATGAGGAACAGCTGATCTTCCTAAAACGAGGCTCTCTAGATAGGATGACTAGATTCAGCAGACAGACAAGCACTGGGGAATGGCTGGGGGTGTCGACAACCAGGAGGACAGTAACAGGTATGACAGAGTATATGGGCTCCAGTGTGTGGGAGGGGGGAGGTTATGGGAGAGTGCCATTTAGGAAGTGGGTATATATATGAATAAGATTGTGTGGGATGTTCTGTATGATACACACACACACACACACACACACAGTGTAATGAAATGCTTCTTCTAATTGTGTAGTTACTAAAAATTTACTTCATGTTAAATAATAGAGGTGACAAACATTACCAGTGAAATCTACCTGATGACTTTATATCCATACTCAGGTACTAAGGATCCAAGTGTAACCAACCCTGACTAGCAGTCATCAGATGCATAGAGATTAAAGACACATGTGCAAACATGTGTTAGTAGCATTAAAAATGTAGGAAACAGCACATTTTAAAATGGAGATTTTCTTTAAAGGGTAAAAATTCATTCAATTTTATGTCTTACAGGGTTTATAACAAGTTCAATATTGTATGACTGTATTAATTCAACTATGAACCTAAAAATTAAATCCACCTTTTAAAGAGATGTATTCTTGCTCTGGAATGTGTTACTGAATATGTTAAAGGTATAATGAAATGCTTCTTCTAATCATGTGGTTATTAAATTTAAAAAATTAAAAAAATTAAAACAACAACAACAAAAGAAAAACAACAAAGCATAAAAATAAAAACAAACACCTGGCATGGTGGTACATGCTTTTAATCCCAGCACTCAGGAGGCAGAGGCAGAGGCAGATGGATCACTGCGAGTTTGAGGCCAGCCTGT